TGGCTGAGCAGTATGTTTGTCACACAGTATCACCCATGCGGCCAGGCAAGAAATACACACTGCTGCTGAGCAGCTGGATGCCGACACTTCATTGTAAACAATGGACAGAATTGGGAGAGAGGAAAAAAGGCAAGTTACATGGAGAGACTGCATGATAACCAGACAGCCAGGTGTCAGAGACTGAAACAGCCTGCCCCGTGTTCCTGACAAAGTGCCTTGCCCAGCCTCTACGAGCATGGTCCATAAAATGTGCAGCCTCTTGAGCTGGTTTTCCTTACTCATGCATACTGTCAGGGATGGGGAGGGACTGATACATTTATGTAAAAACACACATATTTATATGCAAAATAAATAACTTCTGTAAAAGAAAACGTTGTTAAAGGCTGAACAGGAAACCCCAGGCAGTATTTTGAAGACAAACCAAGTAACTTAGGAACTCTGCTGCATTAACATTTGTTAGACTCTGAAAACATTTGTCCTCAGAATTTGCCCATTCATACTGAACATGAGGTACATTTTAGCATTGAATACCATGTATTTTAATCCCACCATGCAGAGAACAGGAATCTAAATAATACTAAAATAAGAGTATTTTTTTGTGTTACACTATTGTAACAACAAACATTGTTGTTTGAAACAAAGCTTGGTTCTGAGGTAAAAGTCCAATGTGGGAAAGAATAAATAGCTCTACCTGATGCACCAGGTCATCAGAACTGACAGACATTTCAGATGTTTCCAAAGTGGGTGGGAAACCACTTCAGCCAGGTCTGTCAGTGATTACCTGTCTCAGCCCACAGTGAAGCTCTAAGCAATACAGTGTGCAGTGCAGCAAAGATGGGCTGTGATTCTACTTGTCCTGAAGGAACACAATGGAAAGGACCAGTTATTTTTTTAAAATTAGAAACTTTATTGTGAATTTTGTATTACCAGCATTTGTACTCATCAGAGTAATTAGCAGCTTAGCTGTTACACAGTTACACTTAACTCTTCACAAAGTCCTGTGACATTCGTCATCTGAAGCAACGTGAGGAGGAGGCAGACTGTGTCATTGAGAATTTTAGGAGTATATCAGGCATCTAGTTAGGAGTGTATCTAGGCATCTCAGACCCTGTGAATGAAGGACTGCTTCCTGTGCCTCTCCAACTTTCTCAGTTTAGATTGCAAGGTCTATAGGCAAAGGCCATTTGCTCCTGCACCTGCTCAGTGCCTACTCTGCTAGCTGTACAGCAGCACACATAACATTGTCACCTGGAGGAGCCTTCCTGAGTAGAAGTCACTTGTTTCTGTCAGGGTATGAAAAATTCAGGGTCCCATACACATAAATCTCTCAAAGATAAAATAGAAGATATCCTCACCTGGATTGGTTTGATCTCAGAAATATTGCCTCTATATTATCATCAGATTTACCCCCGGAAGAAAGAATGTCTAGTAAAAAACACCTATCTGCTAATTAAACCAGAACCAATTGCATCAGCTGCATGGTCTTTGGTAATGCTGCTGGATGACAGTGTCAAATTTCAATTTTTATTTAATATTTTCTCGCAAAACAGGGAACAGCAGTGTCAACTCACTTCCACATTTTGGGTTTTAATCACAAAGAACCTGTGAGAGCATTTCTTTTTTACAGGAGTGTTGAAATAGCCTGTATTAGATTAGGAGGTGTCGTTTCTCCAAGTATGCTGTGCAGTTAGTAGGTACTGGGCAGGCAGTAGTATTCCCTCAACATCATTTTATTTGAAGGTATTTGTACAGCATATACCTAAAGATCTGTAGTGTTAAAGTGCAAATCTCATTTGAGAATCCAATACTAAAAAGACGACTTGGTTAACAGTCCTAATGACAAAACTCTTTCTTTTGCTCACAGAACCAAGTTCAGAGCAGACAGTAACACAGAGACTCTTTAATACACCGTCAGCTCAAGACATTTCAACTTTTGCTTTCCTTTAAAAAGTGGTAAGAGCTATAAAAATTACAGTTTCTGGATTCTCTGCTCAAACTATCACTGGAGAAAGCAGGAGAGAGCTGCTCCTGCTCTAAATTTACAGTGGAGAGGGGGAGGGGGAAAGTAAGAAAGAACTGCTCGTAAAAGTGAGAAACATCCCAGGAACCTGAGCTCAGACACAGCAACAATCTGTATAATTTTCCTCACTGTTTGAAAAAGAAGGGTAGGATATCAAGGAGACTTCAGGATGCCTTGAAATTCCAGGCAATTAATTTAGCAGGTGTGGGAGAGATGTGAGAAAACAAGTAGAAGGTCTCAAAAGTTGAAGACTGATGGTTGATTTGCACCTCATTGCAGCTCATTGCCCCTCTCAGCCTGAGAACTGAGGGGCAGTTAGAAACAGGTGTACCTTGTAAAGCTGATTTTCCAGCAAATGAGTCTTCTGTTAATATAAATGCCGAAGTTAATGCAGCTAGTTTTTCTCAGAGGAAGAGATAAAATAGCTTTTGTCATTTTCTGCTATCTCTATCAAAGAAGAATAGATGCTATTTTTCCATATGCTATTGTAAGTATAAGGTCTTGAACTGTTTTGGGTTGGTTGGTTTGTTTTAATGGAGAATTGCAAGCAATATTTTCAAACACATTGGAATTGAAAAGACTAATATTCTTTAATGAAGGTTTACTTATCTCTGCTTGTAGGCTCCTACGCACTTAAAGAGCATACTTAAATCTAACAGCAATGTTTTTAAGTTTTCCTTTTAAAAGGCATTCTGTGTCTTTACTATAGGAGACTGCTTCAACTTCCTGGCATTTATTTTTAAGGAGTAAATCTTTTAAATCAGCTATAACAATAAAAAGCAGTCTCTTCTCTAAAATTCTTACTATTGTGTTCATTAAGGTAAATGTTACTATGTATAGAAACAATGGTAGAAAAATAAACTTGGAGATCTTGTCTCTGCATACATAAAACCAAGCATCTCTCATGTAGGAAGCTTGTAATACACCAATTTAAGTAAAACACTGAATATTTATATTTATTGCAATCTAGATTAATAAATACTTACAAGTGATTTTTCCTCTTTGTTTCACAAGATTGTGCAATTAGCAACTCTTGTGTTAAACACTAGTGAAGCATGTTGCTGTTTTTTTAGAAAATAACTAATTTTTTTTTTCTACCTAAAAAAAGAAAAGCAGGGAGCTAACTTCTTGGGGGGGATGTTGCTTCATCTTGTTTCTTGATGCACAGTTTGAGTAAAAAGACACAGTTCAGTGAAGTCTATATCCTTCTTGGGACAAGTAGGTATTTGTACTGTGCAGGGGGAAATCCCTTCAGGGCCAAGGAGTCTGGTGTTCTGCCCCTGTGGGCAGCCACGTCAGTCCCTCTTGCATGCACACATCACCTCGTGAGCTCTAGTTACAAAGCTGTAGTTTAATTTTCTTCTTCCTCTACCCCTAAGAGAAATCTAGTCTGTAATGGTACTATTCTGATAGGCTGGCTATGAGTAAAACCCAGTCTTGCAGGGTCTGGGGACTGTTGTTGCTGGTCATGTAGGTTATGCAGTTAATGTATGCTGGACTCTTGACTGCTTCCCTGCTTCTTACTTCAAAGCAAGTGTTCAGCTTTGTGTGTATTTTGGGTTTTTTTTCTTTAACCTTTTACATGATTTCCTGGAGAGAAGCAATACAATGTATTTTCAGAGCTGAGGAGTTGAAAGTGAGAGAGTGGTGGAAAGCAGGTATATAGCTGCAATATGGGGTGTAAAATACTGCTTCAAATCTGGTTCTTGTGAACTTCAGCTGGCTTTATCTGGTGAATTTTTTGATTTTGTGTTGGGCTTTTAATAGTATAACTCTTGTAATGATCTAAATGTCGTAGCTGGCTTCCAACAGTATTGCTTGTTTCCTTGTTTTTTTCTAATGACAAAGATCCAGTCAAACTACTGGTGGCTGTTACAGAGCTCTGTTCAAATCTGGTCATGTTCATTGGGTTACACTGGCTGGTGGACAATCTCTTAGTGCTGAGGTTTTAGCAAATGCACTTTTTTTGGGGTGAGGATCTGTGAGTAAAGTCCTACAGCAGGGCAGTGTTAGATTAAAGCTCCCAGCTACTCAGCTGAGAGAAGGTTGCAAATGGCAAGGTAGAGACAGATATCTCACTTGAAACATGGCTTTATGCCTGCAAAATGCACCTTCTATGCCTTGGTCACACACATGCTTATCTTATTGGAAATTTTTTTTTGAATTTTGTATGGGAGAATAGATAATAAAAATACAAATAGAACTGAAGTGCCTCTGTAGGGTATATTTCTTGGGTAACTCACTGTGTGGTAGTGTGACAGCTGTAGTTGTGGCTAATTAGTATAAGAAACAACTGGGTTCTTGTAGTCTCACTGAAATGCTGAAGGTCTCATTGCACTTGTTTTCCCACCTCTCTACACCCCCCAAGCCAGCATCTACAAAGAGCAAAACCAAAAAGACAGCTTAATATTTTTCTGAAAGTCTGCTTCATTTAAATCTTTGCTTCTGAAACCTGTCACAAGGTGGAATTGAGAAAGCTGCAGGTTCAGAATACTTCAGCTGGCTTGTGCAGCTGTGGTGGCCAGGTTTGACTGGGAGGCCATTGAAAGCAAACAGAAACTGATAGTGACTATAGCTGTAGGAGATACCTTCAGTAAATAGCTGGCCAGTTGTTGCTGTTAGACCTGAGCAAAAAGCCATGGAAGCAGGGAAGGAAGTACATGCTACAAATGTGATCAGAAGCCGTAGTTACAAAAGTTGTGCAAGGTTTGTTTCTTTGTAACAAACACTTTTTATATAAAAAAAGGAAATATCCAACTTGAGATAAATTAGTCTGAGTAATATTGCTTAGTGCTTCCTTTAATCTAAAAAGATAGCTGGTATGTGGACCAAAGATTTTTCAGATTGCTTGATATCAAAACTCCAAATTGTCTGCTGAAAGAAAAAAAATGGCATGAAGAATATGTGTATGTTGGTTATCCTGACTCTTATATCTTGTCCTTGTTGTTTCCAGACACTTTGCAAAAGAGGCAAATTGATAATGTCTTCAGAACATGGAGCTAACAAACGGCATCATAACCCAGTGGACAGTATATGCAGGAAGATCAAATCTATACAAATGATGGACCAAGTCTCTAACCCTGCTTTGCAGATACCAAAATTTCAGTCCCGGAACTTCGACAGTCCACAGTGCAATATCAAAAAAAATCTAGAAGAAATATTAAAGAAAAGAACTTTTAGAAGTCATGATAGTAGTAGTCCGCACTTGAGCAGTCCCAGCAGTGACAGTCTTTTCTTTGCAGACTTGCAGTTGCTGTCGCCTTGTCTCAGGCGTTTCTCTGACTCCCATCCTGCAAATGCTACATATTCAATAATTAAAAGTGAAGAGAGATCCAGCAACTCATGGATGCCAGTATGTCCCATGGAGAACTGTTCTCCATCCTACTTCAGATCCAGAGAGGCTAATACTCAGAATAAACTGTGTGCTTTATCAAATATTGAATCTAAAGATGTGCTTCGTGAACAGAAGTATTTCACATCAAGTCCAAATTTGTATTTCCTCACATCTGATAAAAAGTCAGAAAGTGCTGTGATCCAATCTCCTGCGACAAAGAGACCATCTTTGAGTGAAAGAGGTAAAAATCCAAAATCTTAGACATCCGAACATTCAGCCTACATAGATGACATTTATTTGCTACTTAGGCTAGTAACAACAGGTTTTAGAATGACTCAAATCCAATAAGACTGCAAAAAGAAATGAGTAAAATATTATTTGTCCTTTAAAAATATTAATGTGAATACATAAAGTGAGGAAGTAATAAGTCATGTCAAAAACTTCTTCAAACTTGCAAATTTCTTTTTGTGGATAAGTCATTTGGCTTTTAATTTAGTCTGCTTTTTAATATATAAAAAGATACATGAGCTTGGGTGTGGCTTTTTGTTTGTGTATTTTGGAGTCTTCTTTTTTTAAGGATTGCTTTCTTAGTAACTTAATCTGACCATGATGGTTTCTCTACAATATATCTGGAGGGGGAGGGAAGAAATAGTTGGCCTCTTAAAATGTTTTGGTTTGTATGTTTACTTCGTGCAAAACAATAGCCAGAGTTGACAAAAATGGATGCGTAGAAGTAGATACATAAACCAGTTCCCAACTCGGAGGCTCCAGCTACAAACAGATCCTGGTGTTATTTGAGAGTAAAAGCTGTTTTTATTGGTGGGGGTGAGGGAGCTGGTTGGTTGGTTTTGGTTTTTTAATGACCTTAAAAATAAAATCGTCATTCAAGCTGTGGCATGCTTTGTGTGCTTGTGCTATTACAAATATAATATTGTAGTTAAAAGCTGTGGTGCATGAGAGTTACTATGAGCAAATAAAGATGGACAATAACAAACTTATTCTTCATAGGATGGAAGCAGTCACTGGGCTACAAAGCTGACAACACGTATGATGTGAGCTTGATCTGTGAAGAAGACCTGCTGACCACTATCTTCTGTGCATGTGACATAGAGCATACAGGTTTGCCAGTGGCTTTTCATTGTTCTGTTTTATTTTCCTCTCAACAAATTTTCAAGGCTAAGATCATATTACGATTCCTGAGACATGCCAATCTGTGATACGCTTAGATGGATTAGCTCCCTTAGCTAAGTGGCTGTATGTGTGGCAGATGCAGAAAAAATGCCTGTGCTTCTATTGCATCTATTCTTCCCTCCTCTTTCCCCTTCCATCTCCCCCTGCCCTGACACACACACCCCAGCTGATCTTTGATGTATTTTAGTGCAGAGAAGGCAGAGGAGCAACATGCTTCTAGCAATCAGCCTTATTGGAAATGACTGACTTCTTTCTTTTAGGCTTTTTCCTGTTAGAAATGAGAACTTTGGGAAACTTCAGAGCAAGAGATAATTCTGAGTTCTACCTCAGACATGACTAAAAGTGGTAAAGAGTTGTCTAGCAGAGTAAAATAATGTCAGCCACAGGGTTTGCCCGATTTGATGAGAAGACCTAAAAGTAGCAGCATGGCAAATATGTTGAGTTTATTCTTCATAAACTGAAGCCCACAAAACTAGTAAACTGGACTTTCACATCCCCGCATTAGAGAAAACAAACAACAGCTCTAAACTGTTCCTTTGCAGGTCACACTAGAACTGCAGGGATCAGTTGCTTTTCTACAGCTCTCAAGGGCTGTTGAACACACACTAGTGCAGATCAGCAGCATGCCCTTTTACAGCTTTTTGTAATGGCCTACTAGACTTCAGAGTCTGGTGCGTGGACACCTGTATCTATTTTTAGGAAAGGTAGCAGTTTCCAAGATAGTTGATTTTCTGAGACACACGACAAGTCGGGGATCAGAAGATAGTGGTCTTGAAGAGCTGTGCAACATGCTTGACCCAGATCAAAAAGACATCTCCGTGGACCTGGAAACATACCATGCCATCATGAAAGAGTGGATTGAAGACTGTAGGAGAAAATGGTAAGGGCTTTTTACCAATCTATCTCCTAAAAGTTTCTGTGAAAACAGGAGAGTAGAAAATTCTCCTGTCCCGTATGTTTTTTGTGCTCTGAAACAAAGATGCTATCGGGACACTGGCTGCAGTGTGGGTTTTGGCTGAAAGCTCTTAAGTGTTACAAAGTTGGTAAGCAATCCTGTGTCATTGATTTTGTGAGCCTCGATCCTTGCTTGTTTCAGGCAAGATGGTGCCACTGAGGAACCAACAGTAAGCACGGAAGACCTGGAACTTAGAGCGCATAAAAACACCTCTGAAGGTACAGACCACCTTTTTTGTTGTTTTTATTTGGGAAAACTCCATTTTCTTATTCTGTAACCAAAAACCCCATCTCTTTCAGCAAAAAAGATGCATGTCCAGATGAATGTTACATCAGGAAGCTTGGAGGCCTTTGGGGGTGATGTGTCTAAAGGAGACATGTAAGTCCATTTAAGCAATTCTTCTCAGAATTTAGTACTCCTAGCTTTAAATTACTTGAGAGCAATTCCTAGAACCGCTGTTTCAGAAAACTGTCTCCATTTCTAATGCTGACCTCAGCCTGCACTAGCTCTTGATGCTATTACGTTCTTCCTCATAGCTTCTGCTCAGACTTGAAAACACACTAGTAACTTTTCCTACTGATATCTTGGTCCTTCTGTGTCCATTTACCCTTTTAATTCCCTGCAGTCAGGGTTTTATGTTTCTCTTCCTTTTTAAAACAGTTGCTTCCCTCCCCCAAGTTCATAGGTGTATGACAATAGAACACATTATGTCCTGAAAATATGGTCCTTGGTTTTGTTCTTTATTTTTAATTTTTTATGGTCATGACTCTGACTTGGATTCTGTTGGTAGCAAAGAACATAACAAACACCACAAGTTTCAAAGATAATTTTTGCATTTTGTGTAGTCAAAAAATCTTAAGATCTGCTTCCTTATTGTTTCTCAGGGTGTTAAAAGGGTGATCCTTGCTCAAGTTCCAGTTGAAAGCGTAAGTGGGGGGTGGTTTAGAGGAAAAGAAAGGATCTAGAATTTGTGGAGTTAATACAAAAGTATTAGTGGTGGCCTAAGAGGAGATTAGCAAAGGCTAAGATACTGTCATGCAGACATCTGGATATGGCACTTGTCTGGTGGCATACTTCAATTGTAGGGAGCATAAAGGGTGCTTAAAAACAGAACAGTTCCTGGTGTCTATAGAATTGGAGAACTGATCTGAAGATGATCTGATGTCTCTGTGCAGAACAAATAACTATGCAGTGCAGTGTTACAAGTCCTCTGTGGGCTCTCCTCTTGCTTCTCTGAGTGCAGCAAAGCATCAGGATTTTTAAGAAGTCTAAGTTGGATCAAATAACTTTTCTCAATCCTTCCTGGTTCTGTTACTGGAACAGGGAGACTTCTGACTTGATAACCTGTGTTGCGGACCTGCAGTACAATAACCAGAAGCTTCAGGAAGAAAACAACAAGCTGAAGCTCACACTGGAAGCTGTGGATGAGACCAACAACAAGCTAATGGCAGATAATGAGGATTTACGTCAACAAATAAAAAGGTGGGAGACCATGATGTCACCAGGTCTACAGTGTAATGGCTGTGGGTGGACCAGCCTTGCTTAATGCTTTTAGCCTCACTGGTGCTTCATGACAGCAACTTTCTTGACTTAATGTAGTATCTGTAAAGTTTAACCTTCCTGTCTGACTGTTCTGCTCTGTACCTCCTGGTTCTTATAAATTCAGTTGTTTGTCTTATAGCCTGGCTCTTGCAGCATGAGGTGCTGCATGTGCATGCAGGCAGAATCTTAGGGCAAACAAAAATCGAACAAAAAAAATAATTTAAAAAGGCTTAATATTATGGAGAGAACAGCCAAGCACTAGGAGGCTTCCAATCCTAGACCACACACTTGCTGCCAAGCAGGGAGGAAATGAGCATGTAAGAGCTATTTTGCTAGTCCCTTGAGGAGCTAGAGTTGTTTTACTAGCTTAGTATTGCTGCAGTCTGGGGACCCATTAATGCCATGAGAACAAGCCTATTTTTACAGTGATTTCATAATGCTCATCTGACCCAATTAATTCAAATGTGGTATAGTTATGTCCACTGCCAAGCTGTTCCCTGCTGTCTTCTGGGGAGATTAAGGCAAGAGTCCTGCAGTGCAGCTGGCATGGGATGTGTGCTCTCATGTTGGACCATGTGCTCTGGGGTGCTCTGCAGCCTAAAGCTAGCCAGGAAGAGAGCCTTGTCCTATTGGTTAAATATATGTTGTTTGTGATATCAGATCAGGATAAGAAAATGTTGCAGAGCTTATCCTTGAAAATGGAACTGAAATGGTTTCCATAACTGCTAACAATGAAGTACTGTGAAGATGAGTTTATGTGCTCAGGTAACCTTGATACATCTGACTGTAACAAGCCAGATTGTTAGGTGGATGCAAACAAGCATGTTGTCTTGGATGCTATGTTTGTCTGGGGTTTTATCCCTTTTACTGTGATAGCAGAGGGGGTGATAAATAAGAGTAAGTTCATGAGCCTTTACTTACTGCACAAAAGTTATGTGCTTTAACTTGATTGTTACTCTTCTGTTAGATATCTGTGCCAAAGAATAAGTCCCTGGTGGCTTCTAAAAATACTGTTCTTGGTATTTCAAACCTATTTAATGACCAACAGTAGCTTGCTAAAGTTTTTCTGGATTTACTTCCCCCCACACAGCATCCAGCATTCTGTGCTGAAAGCCAAATCACTGGAAGAAGAACTAGAAGAAGCAAAAAACTACCTGAACTTGTCAGAAGAGGAGAGACAGGAGATTCTCTGCCAGAATAAACAGCTAGTAGGTGCTCTTATTTCTTAGCTTATATTGTACAGCATCTCATGGCTTGCTGTAACAATGGTATGACCACTCAGACTAAATATCAGCAACATGACCTTCTCTGTACCAGTAGGTACTGAGGCTTTTTGAGGATTTTTGAAATGTGATTTATCAGAGTTACAAAAACACTGAAGCTTTGCTTGGAAGTTTCCTTAAATTATTGTCAGTTACAATGAAGAAAATAACTAAAAGAACCAGTCTCACTTGTGCTTAAAGACAACAGCTCTCATGCTGCCACCATTGAGCCTGGTCTGTTTTGAAGTTGTTGTTCTGCCAGAAATTAACATGACTTTGCTGTCCCTGCTGGATCTAGAAGACTTAGTTCAGATGTCTGCACAAAAGTCATTTTTCCAAAACAGCCCTAGGTTATTGCCAGTGTCCATGTGGGCTGGCAGATACGACAAGGGCCTATCAGAAACCTGTCCATTCTGGACTGACAGCTGGAAGCCAGGTAGCGCATCTTGGCATGTCTCAAAGGGCATGAGCTGCCTATATGAGAGTGTATGAACTGCAGCCCAGGTGTCTGAGTAGCAAAGCCTGTGTGACTGTAAGGTGCAAAAGCAGCCTGGTAACAAGGCTGATGTGGCTACAGCTTTAGCAGGTGTTGCCAGACACCAGTGTGTGGGCGGTCCAGAGAACACATGTTTGTGTTGCTGCCACATGTGGTGTTCACACTACAGCGGCATCTCTGCATTTTGCTGTGTGGCTGTAGCTGTAAATTGGTGTTCCATAGCTCCGTGCCCTGCTGATGGCGGGTATTTAGAAAACAAAAGTCTTCCATGCCAAACCAGAACACAAGACTTTTTTTGTGCTGTCCTGCTGCAGTGTGTATATATTTTTGTTTTGCTTTAATTTGGGATTACATGCATAATTCACCTTGTGAGAAGGAGGTGGGTGGGTTGGGGGAGAGAAGTATTATTAGAAGTTTTGCTGTTGTGCTTAAGTCCCTTAGTTACTGTTCCCCATGCAGTTGAGGCATCAAGTGGGATAATACTACTTATGTAATAAGACCTTTCTTCAAGTCTGATATGCAAAAGGTGTGGTGTGGCACATAGGCTGTCCAGATTTGTCTTAAGCATTAGCACAACTAGACTTGCTCACTCTGGCCTTGAATACCTCCATCCTATCATCTGCTGGTCTGAGATTTACTCTGATTTGAAATGCCTGCGTCAAACACTTCAGTGAGGTTTCATGAGCTGGGCCAGCATCAGCACTCTTGTTTTTGCTGTGGTCTCTGAAGCAAAGGAATGCAGCAACACAGTTTCATGTTGGGCTCTGGATGTGTTTGTGATCTGTTGGTTTTTGTCTTAATTTGGCTTTGAGTGTTGAAGTTAACATGCTAAAAACAACTATTTTGTTTTTTTCTTTTTCTTTTTTTCTTTAATTTTAACTAAACCTGATCAGGAAAAAGAAAATCGGTCTCTCATCATCAAAATTTCTTCTCTTCAGGAAGAGGTAAAATAAATCGTGACTTTGCAAGTTTGTTTTTATCTAGCTAAAAGCTCGCCACTAAGAAATGAAATGTTTGTCAGACTTTGAAGCCTGACTTGTTACTTAGCTTAATGAAGCATCTTACATTTTACAAGGATGACTTATCATAAAACTGTCTTGAACTTGCCCTGTGCTTCAGTCTTTCCCTTTGCTGGGTAGGTAAGGATACAAGGTTGTGAAAGTAGGTGGGGCAGGGTCAAACAGCTTTTTTTCCCCCTCTTTTTAAAAAACTTTATAGACAAGTTCCAATTATTTTTTGTTAACTCACCTATAAATATACTAACTCTCTATTGAAACTATATCCATCTAACACTTTTTTAATTTCATATTCACTCCTGTTTCCCTCCTTTAAGATCACAAAGAGGAGCCCTGTACAAAGTTGTAACTCCCCCCAAAAAAATGCTGTGGCTGGGGGCTCCACTCACAGGTGGATCCATTGATACTGGCCAAGGACCTATAGGAGGCTTGTAGGGAATATACTGCTGACCAAGCTATATTTCTAGGCTGGTTTTTTCTCTTTTTGTTGTTCAGAGGAGAGCTATATATACTTACTTTTTCTTATTTATTTAATTAAAGTAAATATTTTAGAAACTAGTTTTTATCAGGTGATAAAATGTTTTGATACTTGCTTATAACCTATATTTTAATTTACTTAGCATGACAAAGAAAACAGTTAAATCATACATAGTAACCAAAATGAAGCACCTCATGGATTCAGAAACCTATTATTTATTATAACTATATGGTAATTGTTGTTCTTTCCGTGTTTACCATGCTCAAGATTAGTCTTTCTGAAAAGCTCATAAGTCTAAATAGCTATTAAACTGTATCTTTCAAAAAATAATTCTCATGCTGTAGGCCTGAAAGCTTTTCTTTAGCTTTCTAGGTCTGGTATTGCTTATAAATAACATTTTGAGATTTTTCTCTTTTGACAGTGCTCTGGAAAAATGGAGGAAAAAGTAGCAGAAGCAGTTTCAGTGGGGCAAGCACATACAATGTATGTGCATAAGTGCTGGTAGTGCTTTAGAGTAGGCAGTAGCTTGGGGGTGGAGATGTCATTTTTGCCTAATTTCTTCAAGGAGAAGCTGTCAATCCATTCAGCTGTGCCTGAACACTCTCTATCTTGTTCAGAATATTAGGAATAGCATGGACACCGATGGACTTAAAAAGAAGATTTTGGAGCTGTCTAAAAACGCAGCAGAGCTTCAAGTAAGCATAGGAGGAACAAAAAGACACCCTATAGTTTACTAAGCCCTAGTGAGGAGAATTTCTGCCTCTGGAAGGTAGACAGCCCTGAACACATCTCTTAAAGAACTGCAGTGCAATCACAGCTTGGACAGCGTGGCTTTGACTAAGAAAGTTGCTGTCTGGAGGCTGAAAACTGGGCTAAATATAAATAACCCATAGTTCCATTCTTTCCTCTAAGCTGAACTTTTAATAAACCTTTTCCCCACTGTTTGGGAAAATGTTTTAGCAAGTCATGCTTTGGCTGATGTTGCTGAAACTATTAGTCTGGAGAGACCAGAGGAAACAATGATGACTGTGAAAGCTGAGAACACTTTCACTTTTAACTGGCTGCAAGATTTGAACTTCAAAACACACCATCCAAGGCATTCAAAGAAGAATTTGATTTTTCTAAGCAGAGAACATGGATACACTTTTTCCCTTCCAAGTTAGGAGATAGGAACAGACTTTGTATTATGGTTCATACTGGTGACTGGAATTATTTTTGATGTTTTCATTCTTTAGATCCAAGCACATATCTATGAGAACACTGCAGTGAATAAAGAGGCAAGCTTGATCCAGGTTAGTTACTTGTACTTCCTTACTGTCTTGACTGAAAATACTGACTACGGTATGATTTGTAAAAAGGCAAGGCAATAGTCTTCACAGTGGCACTTATTATTTCTACTGTTCTCACACTACAGAACCTGATCCTATAAATGGCTTCAAAGTAGGCGAGATCTGCTTTAGGACCTGCTTATGAGTCAGTATAATTGAAGGTTTCAGGAATTTTCTTTTATTTAAAAAAAAGGAAAAAATCACAACCTATTAGAACAAAAACTGTCAAACTTCAGAAGAACGTACAGAAACTTCTAAAGGCTATTTCCTTCAACAGTTGGTGAAAGAGTGCACCTGCAGATGATCCTATGCTTCATATCTTTTACTTAAACTGCTTGATTTTTTTTTTGTCAAACTAGAAATGGTGATTCAGAGCCCAATGGAAAAGCAAATTTATTCTTTCTCATTACTGAGGTGTAATTGTCTAGGCTTTGAAGAGTGAACACTTCTGATCATGTTTTTAAACTTGTAGTTTGTATTAGAAAACAAAGACACAAGATTGCATAAAGGGTGTTGGCATTTTCTGGATTAATGAACTATGCAGATAGACTTCTAGGCTAATGGAGTTTCTGTTTAGCAGAACATGTTCTGAATTGGTTGATGAAATATTTGACTATTAGGCTGTGTGCAAAAATGAGTGCAGCTGAAGTCAAATAGTGACAAGAGAGAACCTAACTTCGGTGTGATCCAGCTGACAATTTTGTAGCTGAGTGGTTTTTAATAGTGGGGTTGGAGTTTTTTTAGTTTTGTGTGATGTTTTGGTTGGGTTTTTTTTGCCACAAGCAGCTTAAGGGCACAAATGAACTAACTTTTTTAAAAATAGCTTTCACTTTCTCCTCCTTGAATGATTCAAAGCATTTGTGGCTTATTCTCTTATTTTAAAAAGGCTTTTTTAGTCTATTGACTAAATGGGAATTTTGAAAGCAGATGGCTAGGTTGCATGTTCTTGTAGAGAAAGGTGACTGATGTTGTATAATCTTGAAGAAAGTGGTGTGGAAAACTGACTTTGCTTGTTGGCATTAGGATCTGTGGGATAAGGGCTTACCTGTAAGCTAAAAAAACTACTTGTAGCCCTTCATACAAAGGCAAATTGGATCAGATTGACGGTCACTGAAAATTATTATGGTGACCTTTCTTTTCCAGGCCTGCAGAAAGTATGTGAATATAGAAATATTTTTTCCTTCTTCCTGCCCCCTCCCCCAAAAAAACCTTCAGCACTGTCCATCAGTTGTCTCTACCAAGGCTGGAAACCTGGTTCTATAACCCTGCTTTTCCTGCTTGGCTTGCTGTGTATTTCATCTCTCCCAAAAACCTCAACTATTTTTAGAGGAAGAGTAGGAAGAAGTCATAAAAGGGGTGAGAGGACCAGAGCTTCTACCTCAAGTTCCTGTTTTCTCTAAGAAATGCTCCACTTGCCTGTGCAGTGTCTGCTATTGTAATGGCATAACATAACGGCAGCCCATTGCTAAGAAAGCTACTCCCTCTACCAACTTCTCAATCTTACCATGAGAATTGATACATTCTCTGTCAGCCATACCATTAGGTGGTGCTTAATCTGCAGAGTGCTACACTCTATGCCTTTAATCATGAAAACTGAGTAAACTCAAAACATTGCATCTTGTTTTAAGCGTCAGTTGGGACTGAGACTCATTCGAGGCATAGTATAGTCCAGGTTTTCAGCTAAAACTAGAGTGCTTCTGTCTAGTTTAATCTGAAACACAGTACCTGGAAAGAGCTTTTCAGTCTCCCTAACTTCAGGAGTTACATAGAAAAGGTGTTATGTGTGCTGTCTGTTAGCCAATATACAAGGTAATTGACTGTATTCTTTTAAATTTGCAACTAGTTTTATCTTAAATAATCAGGTTGCTTCTCAAACATAAATCATCCAGTTTACTGCTGTGATATAGGATTGAGTGTAGAGTTATTTTAGTTACAAAGCACCACAGCTGTAAGCATTACTAATGTACTTCAATGTGCTAGGTGCCAGGCTGTGTACTTTAAAGGTTCTTTTTTCCACAATCTTTGCAGAAGGAACAGGACATCAAAGAACTGAAGTTAACCATTGCGGAGTATTCCTCAATAATAGAGGTATGGGACTGAGTTTAGTTTTTGAATATGTGAGGGGAAAGCATGCATATCCTATACTTATTCTGCATGATAAACTAACAGTCTAACTAGGTCTGATGTGTGTTTTAGACTTTACGGGCAGAAAAAAATAAACTACTGGAGAACATGCAACACATGCAGCAAGAGCTGATCTTGTGAGTATTATGAACTAGTCTCAGGAGATGCAGTTCATCAAAAGGGAAAAAGGGCTGATACCTGTTTTTCCCCTGCTTCTTTTAGAAATAGGTTGAGTTTCCCATTGTTGTGTAAATTTAACAGTAATATTCCTGAAGGGACAAATTCACTGCGCTGTGAACTGGAACTCGCTCAGTCTTCTGAGGTATGAATCAAATCTTTATTGAATCTCATCCCAGTTGTCTTGCATCAGTAAAGGAAGAACAAAGCTCATTCCTTGTAGATCATTAGATAACCCTGGAAGTCGAAGCCATTAATCCCAGCACACAAGGCTTGAGTGTGAAGGTTACAATCTTGTCCAGAGTACACTGGAGAAAGTCCAAAGAAAAGCAAACAAAACACTCAGATCTAAAATCAGACCTAAAAGTAGATCTGTAAGAGCTAGGGTCATGCATTTAGCTGGCAGAAGAACAGACTGATAGGAGAAGATAGGAGTTTTCAAATATATAAAGGCTGTTATGCTGAAGAAAGTTAAGTCTGTTTCTTCTTGTACTGCCTACACCAGACATGAACAATGATTTTTCAATTGTAGGAGGGGAGACTTCTCTTTCCTTGGAGCCTAATGTAGTGAAAAAGAAAATTGGGCATTAGAGTAAGCATCTTGACAAGGTTGTAGAGTCTTCATCAAATTTATTCTTTAGAAACTGATAAACACCTGTCTGTAGGTACTATTGCCTTGCCCCTCCACAGTTACAGTGGTGACTGAGCCAGCTCTTTTTTTCCGACGTCTTTGAGTAGTGACTCAGAGAAGGACAGGAGAGGCATTGTTCTGATGAGTCCGGCACAAGCTGACACAATCTTAGTACTGCAGCTGAGCCTGTTGGTTTTGGAGTTATAGTGTCCCCTGTGTCCTCTGCAGAACACCTGGCAGGTGGTTTGGTGCCTTTTGGGAACTATGCTTTTGCTCAGACACACTTCACATAATACTTCACATAATACTGGAAGTTTGGTCTAATTTGCCATTGTCATAGCTTTGCAGCACTCCAGTGGAGAACTACTGGGGAAAAAAAACAATTTACATGTACATATGGTTTTGGCTCAGATTTTTATCTGAGCTACTCTGTGTCCATTTCTCTAAAGACATTCCATGGAGTCTCCTCATTCCTTATAGTGCTGTCTTCCCTTCATGGTGCTGTCTTCTCTTCAGATGTAAGCTGTGCAGCAGAGCTGATAACCTACATGCTATTGCAGTGACTTCTCTTGTAAGACTTCACCATGCTGCTACTTGCTTTTGCATGTGGTGCATTTGTGAGAAGTTAGCATTTGCAACAGGAAAAAAATAATCTACTAATGGACTAAAACTACAGGCCCAGAAATGAGAGGTATACCTGGGTAGGCAGCTCTGTTTCAAAAAATGTTGCAACTCCCCACAGCCCCAGTGAATCACTCTGTTTACCTCTCAAATGCTGCAATGAGACACAATTCCACCAAATCACCTGTAAAGCAAGTAAGAGCTGCTTATTCATCACTTGGTAAAGCCTCTTCTGAATAAAGATAACTAATTATTGACTTCCTCTTGCCTCCTCCGGACATGAAAATTTACATTGGATCACTCAGCAGTTTGGCTGGCTTGCTTTTTGTAAAACCTCCATGACATGATATTTTTTGAAAGGTTTTACAACCTTCAAGTTTTGGTAGCTCTGACCTTCTGGTAAATATGATGCAGGGATACTTCAGAGAAGTCTAAATGTCACTGATGTTGGTTTGTAATAAGGAGATGTCAAAATAAGCTAGCTGGCTCTTACATCTCTTCAAAGATTACCAAGACTGAATGGACATCCCTGGATGAAACACTGGACCGTGAAGTGATGTTTTTACTTCAGGGACCTGAATACGCAGGAGAAAAATTTAAGACTATCATGCAGAACCTGGTCAGTGAAAGAGCTTATGTAAACAACAATGTGGTCTTCTATCAACCTTTTAATTCTCCAAGCATTGATAATCAGATCACGTTTGCTCCTTTTGGAAAAATCAGATTATAGCTTCTTTGGGGGTGGGGGAATGGGGCATACTTTAACAATATCACTTGGCCACTCTTCTAACACTGTAACTTATAACCTGGGTAATTCTGGGCAGCATTGTGTCGAACCAGTACCAGAAGTGCTAGGTTTTGGGGTCTTTGTTTTGGGGTTGGTTTGTTTGGTTTTTTCAGCAAGAGGAAGTCTCTGAAGCAGAGGAGCTTGTCATGGCTTCTCTACAGTGGGTAGAAGATCCTGATGTGAACATGCAACAGGCTTGGGAGAGAAAACTTGTGGTAAGTAACTGTTTCTCTGAAGATATTTTATGAAATAGTGAGGCTGTGCAAGAACTTAAGGTGTATATCTTACTGCTGCATGCTATGTATGTTAATTACTTGAGATCATAGTGGTCTATTTGGGCTGTATGGAGAGAAATATCTTTTGTAACTTTTTTTGAGGAGGAAGGGGACTATTGCTTTTTACTTAAATTCTATGCTTTTCCTGACTTTGCTTTTGTAAGAGCTTTCTTTGTTAAAATATGCTTGGAGGAAAGAGTAGATGAGGCAAGTCAATTTGAATAGGAAAATAAGGTCAGACAGAACACTGTATTGTATGAGCTATGAAGCTTTTCTGCCCACTGCATGTTTCTATGTGCCTTGAGCACCCATTTTCCCCTGTGCTCTGAATCTGACTATGCTACTGGATGGTTTCACCATCAAGAGGAGGAGGGAGGTGGCTTTATAACCAGATTTCCACATCAAAACCTTCAGAGGGTTTGCTTTCTTTTGAAAGACAGAGTTCTGCTTTTGCTGGACATACTCCACAGGAAAAACTGCTACAAAAACATATTTTACAACTTAATCTTGCATAATGTATTTTTACTATTCCTCAGGCCTCTTGTGATGCTTGAAAGCAAAGACTTTTGCTCAAGGTAACTGGTAAAAATAACTTCATGTGTTAGCAGCAGTCTGTGGACCAGCTCAACTCTCTTGATCTTGTTCTCTCCTCCCCTCCAGTGTAACAAACCAGTTTCTGAAATTATCTTCTTGTTGGATGTAGCTTTTTACTCTAACCTTCTCCTTGTTACTAATCTCTTCTTAAGAACACTGCTACAGAAAACTCCCCCAAACTGTATATTATTGCTGTCTTTTGGTTCCTTAATAGATGCAAAACCCTTGGTTTATCCTACTTGGGTAACAGCAAGTGGCACTACAGTACATTCTGCTTTAAGCTGTTAACTTTTAAGCAGAAAGCTGCCCTTCTTTAACTCTAGTGCTGCAAAGTGTTGTAGCTGGCCCCCTTCATCTGGGCAAGCAGAAGCAATCATTGGAGTAATCCAGTCCTGCAGTCAGCTTTTTTCTTTATGTAAATCCTGAAAGCTTCCCCTTGGAAAAGGTGCAAGCCTTCTCAGTCTCTTCACCCTGGTGTGACTTTGGGTAGACTCTAGGAAACTGCTGTCTCATGCATTGCTGTAACTTTTTGATCTTGACTAAAAACTTCCTCCTTTAAAGCTGTCACAGCTGAAACGTGTATTAACTTACCATTCATGTTGGGATAGTATTCCTGTTGAATATGCGAAGCTAAAAACTTTTGGTGTGGGTGTTAAAGCTGATGTAGCAAATGAATCCTATTCTGGCTCCTAGAGAGCAATGCATTTGGAAACTAAACTAACAGAGGATCAAGGGACAACAAGATTATTTAAAAAAAAAGTCCTGTCCTTCTTGGGCCCATGGGGATGAGAACTGACTCAATGTCAAATGGATTGTCTTCAGCTAACTGGAACAAGCCAGATATGTGGGAAATAATGTATATGGAGCTGAACAACAGTAGACAGGGGGAAAAAAAGATTCAAAGTACTTTCTTCCAGCCTTAGTGAAAGCTTTTGCAGAAAAACAAATTAAATCTTGGAATATGTGAAATATGTTACAGATGTGTTTAGCTGGTTTTACTTTAAAACATACTTTAAAATAGTATATTATAAATAAATTTGAAGTGTGCCTGTGGTTTTTGTGAATATATGCATACACAGATGGTGACAGTAAAAACTTTTTCACCCTTCTCCTGCTGGATGATAAGACTGTGGCACGTGTGCCCTGATAAGCCTATACCACTTATGTGTCAAACATGTTATTTCAGGGAGCAAGAGCTGCCTGCCTTGGCTGAGAAACTGATCTTCAGGATGTGGGTATTTGCATATGGTCACATCCCATGTCATCCTAGTAAACCTATCTAGCAAAACTGCTCAGGCTCTTTTTCTTTTGTAGCATGATACTTGATGTGCTACGCTTTTTTTTGTTTGAACCTCATGAAAAACATTAGAGTCTAACTTGCAAGTAGGTAACATTGCCTGTATTTGTAGGATTGTTGTTTTCCCCTTTGAACTAATATAAAATTCCAGAAATAAGAACCTCGTTCTTGCCTGACCTCTTTATGACTCTCATTAAGAATTCTTTAAAAGCTGAGGACTCTATTTTGTATGTTCAATTGAACAAGGTCAGAAAAAGAGGGACTGGATTCTTTGTTCTTGGTACTTTATACTGCAAGTCACTGTTCAAAAAAAAAAAAAAGATGCAATGTTACTTGACACTTCATTTCTACCATCTTCCCCTTTTTCTTCCTGCAAATCAGAAGTAAAACTGAAAACCTTTGTCATCCCTTGGACAGATTTCATCTGCTAGGCATGGACAACAAACTGAAATGGGGATTTGTTGGTTTGTTTTTCTTTGTTTTACTGTAATACAAACTCAAACTGGTGCCAATGGACTTTGTTGTACTTTGAGAAGAGTGTCACAGAAGTCTAAATTATCAATTTCAGGGCTTCCTGTGAGATAGTAATTATTAAAACTTCCCCTTATGAAATGTTTTTTTTTGTTGCTGTATCTGGGCATCTTGTGATGGAGGTTTTCTGGGGTAAGTTGTGAAGACTCCCTCATGCACCATGTAATCTTCTACCACACTAACTATAAATACTTGTTAACTGTATATTTGTTTTACAAGGGATAAAGAGAAAGAGGGCTACCCTAGATCTGCACAGAAAAAAAGGCTGAATGGCTTTTGACTTAGAAGTAACCTTTTGAAAAAAGTGGGAGCCATTTGTCCAATTGAACTAGCATATGGATGCTTACATTTTCTTGTGCGAACTGCTACATTTTGCTCCATCTTAAAGTACTAACGCTTGGCAGGTGTCTAGCCTGTCTGTCATCGCACCCCATCAGATTCAGGAATAAGGCGGCACAGGTTTTAAGTTTAGGCAGTTTTGTTAACCTCTTAGACTGCACAAAACACTGTTTTGTACAAAACAAGCACCTTTTCTTCCTTTATCTCTTCCTTATTAAACTGTATTTTTCCTCCTCTCCCCACC